ACTCTGGCCAAGAAGGCAGATCAGAAGGACTGGCCGGCGGCCGATCCTGTGGAAGAAGGAGGAAGGCATAGTTGGCATCTGAAGAGACTCCATGGGTATGGGGAAGAGCCCAGAGGGATACACACTGATTTGGGATCCATGAGAACAAAGCTCCTCGACCCAGGAAGGGGCAGACAGGAAAAGGAGCCTTGCCACTTCTGACCAGATGTGGTGCCAGGAAAGGCTAAAGTCACTTCCAAAGTACCAAGCCCTTGGAAGGCCTCCACACCACCTCTGCTGAGTGCAAAGAGGATCAGACTGAAGCTGAAACAGGCTGTACTACTGGTTCAACTCTGCATACTCTGTACACATATGGTGCCTTTCTCCCTTCCATGATCCCTGTATGGCTCTGGGTTCCCACAGCCTAAGGACTTTGGCCAGGGTCACCCTAAGCAGAGCAGAGCCATGAGAAGGAAGCACACATGCTGTGGTTAGCAGCTGCAGGTGCCCAAATGTAGGTCTGTGGAATCCCTGTGTAGCTGAGATGTCAACTGGGACTGGAATCATGATTGCTGATTGACCCTCCCACCTCCGTCAGGCTGTATCTTCCATTACCTCTCAGGTATCTATGGACCACTGAGATGCTCTTGCTCAGGCAAGGGACTGAGCTCTGTGGAGGGGGTATTTCTTCATTCATCATTCATTAATGACTGCATGGGCATCATGAATTTCAGTGAGGCATGTTTTTGGGTTCCTGGCAATAACTCTCGGTAGGTATTTGTGTCTCCTCACCTGTCACTGAGTGGTCCACAGATGATAGATCCTATGAGAAGTCCCACCATGTAGATAGACTGGGAGATGTCACTCAGGTCCTTCCTGTCACACACAAGGTCAAACTGGAGGAAGGAAACAGATGCTTTTGCTTTTGAGCGGTCCAAGTTTCTAGGCTGGGCAGTGCTAGTGTTCCCAGGCGGACAAGGGGAACTGTGTGCCCACGCTCTTCCTGTAGCCCATGGGAGCAGAGATCCCACTCGTAAAGGTATGAATGTCTACGTGAACTGCACAGGTTGAATATGGAGCAGATCCATTGGGAACTCAATGATGCCCAAAGCTTTGGGGCATGCAGGACTCCCTCCAGCATAGACACTCCAAAGGAACCTCCCGGCTGGCATGTTATGCTTGAAGTAGAACCTTGGGACAGGAGTCTCAGCACCTTGTTTCCCTGGCTGCAAGGGCAGTACAGGTTGGGGCAGGAGGAAGGGAGGAAGACAGGAGAGCAGCAGAGAGCTCAGTGGAAGGTACTTGTGAGAGTACGTTGGAGCTGGGAGTGAGGAAGAAGGAAGAGAGAAATGAGGAAGAGTGAACAAAGGTTCAGAGCGGGAGAAGTTGGGGATATCAGTAGGCAGAGCCCATTGTCATCTTCATGGCCCATAGGACATCTTGCCCAAGCCCTGAAGTCTCTGGAGGCCCCAGAAAACTCAACTACTGGTAAAGCTCTGGGAAGGGAAATATTTTTCATGGGGTTGGGCATGTAAGGAGATTCAGGCAGAAGGATAGCAAAAACTGGCAGGGAGATTGAAAATGTCCCTCCATATAGCATACATTGCAAGTTACGTGGATGCTGAAAAGAAGATGTGTGGTGAGCACCGTGACTTTTCCTTGAACCAACCTACACCACAGGATTCTCCCATCCCATCCCATCCCATCCCATCCCATCCCATCCCATCCCATCCCATCCCATCCCACATCACCAAAGCATCACAGGGACATACAGACCTCGGTGAGCAGGGATGGCGGCTGTGCTGTGGGGTACACCCAGCCATTGCTGCACTTCTCTGTGGCATTCAGGCCGTATGCCACGATGGAGTCGAGGTCCCATTCCACAGGCGAGTACATGATGCACTGCTCGTAGTCCCCATTCGCATCCCGGGGCAGGGTGAGGTTCAGCTGCTCTTCCTCTGTCAGGTTGGGGCCGACAGCACGGATCCAGTCCGTGTTGCAGTAATGAGGCACGTCCACAACCATGAACACTTGGCCAACCATTTGAAAAGGAATAAGAAGCTGTGGGAGGGAGATCAACAGCACCACCAGTTTCTGATAGAGGCCACACTCCCTCACAGCTCTTATCAAATCCCCAAACTCGACCATGGTGACTACCTCTGTGGCCAGGCTAGTGTGGAGCATGTCACTTAAATAGTGCAATATTAATGTTTAAACTGTATGAGCACTAAACACCTAATCAGATGTGATAAAACGAGCACTTCAACCAGCATGCTCCCCCACTAAAATGATACACCGGATTCTTCTGGGATGCACTTTGCCACCATTTGCCATTTGGGTTGGGTTCATGTGTCAAGGCTTTGGTAGCGGGTGGGGCTGCAGGGTGCCCTCTGCAAGCAGAGCCACAGGGGAAAGAGGTTCAAGTTTGCTTTTAACTCACAGTGCTCTAGTTACAATAAGCAATAATTCATATTATTCTCCCAGCACAGACTTTGTTCTGCCCGTGATGGTGACTGGGGAGTGATCTCCCTGTCCCATCTCAAACCTTGTGCCTTTTTCCGAATTTGCTGCTCTCACTTATGGCTTCAGATTAGATAGCCCATGCTGCTGCCAGAAAGAGCAGCAGGAAAGCTTTCTTTGTACTTTTACTTTGGACGATGATATACAGCTGGTCAACATGTTGGCTTGATGTTGACAGCCGTGCCCTAAGCTGTCAGTATTCATTGGTCCCAGGTAGAAACCCTGGTCAGCTGCAACACTGAATCTAAACTACAGCATTTTGGAGATAATCCAAAACCAGATTTGACTGAGGGAGTATCTTTAAGAAAAAATGTGGGTTCATTACACAGTCATTCATAGCACACAGAATTTGGGGATAAGAGGTGGCAGCAGCCTGGCTGTTACCTGATTTCTGCTGTGTCTCTCAACAATTTCCTGGGCAGTCTCTCTGAGTGGTTTATATCTTTATTCCTGGGAACTGGAAACCTGCATTGCCCTCAGAATATGTAATGTGGTGTGTAAAATAGTGTGTAAAGTGGCAAAGGTCTCTTGGCTGCTCCAGAGGTTCCTTGTAGCCAAAATCTGTGACTGCTATGCTCTGCGATGACTTGGCCAAAGAGATTTTCCATTGCAGATGCATTTCAAACCCACCCTGCATGGGCAGCTGAAATCTCTGAGCTTACCCTGCTGTGTGTGGCTCATGTTCTTCCTTTCCACTCATCCATCAGCATCCCCTGTAGCAAAGAGTTCAGATTTTGGCTACAAAATCTCCCTGGGAGTGACTCAGACATGGCTGCTCTCTCATGTGCTCATGCAGACATGACTTCTTGAGGCTGTTTTTCAAAATGTCACCAGATAGGGATGGCTGATAACCTGGGAAAGCTTCAGTGTCCTCTTGTAAACTCTGTCACCCTTAGGTGACACTTTTCATAGAAAGAGATTGTTCCTTTGACTGTCTTCATCTCACAAGGAGATGTGGGGCTGAATGGGTCATAGAATCATCACATAGAAAAACTTGTTTTGGGATGGAACTTAAACACCATCTATTTCCAACCCCCTGCCACGGGCTGGCAAACCTCCACCTGGTCGGGCTGCCCAGGGCCCTGTTTGATCTGGCCTTGAGCACCTCCAGGGATGGGGCACCCACAGCTCTCTTCCCTCTGTTGTTTAAAGCCATTTTCCCTTGTCCTATCACTATCAGACCGTGCAAGGAGTCAGCCTCCTCCTCATTATAAGCTCCTTTTACGTACTGGAAGGTTGCAATGAGGTCTCCTAGATCTTCTCCCAGCTCCCTCAAACTTTGTCCCAAGGCACTTGCCCATCCCAATTTCAGCATCTAATGAATCATGCAGCTCTCAGGGACATCTCCCTTTTCCTTGGATTCATACTCATGTCTCTCTGCATAAGCAATGAATTCAGTTTTACAGCAGATGCAGTCATTAAGCAATTTTATTCCATCAATAGATCTGACAGAGCCGGTGTATATTTCATCTCTGTCATGGCGGGACATATATATATATATATATATATATATATATTTGATGGACATGATTAACACATCACATAACATGAAGTGATGCGCTACACCGAATCATAGAATCACTCAATCATTAAGGTTGGAAAAAGCACTAAGATCATCTAGTCCAGCCATCAACCGTCTTACCGCAATAGACCACGTACACAAACTTTTTCACAGTCTGTATGCTCTTACTTTTGCTTTCTAAGGTTTCTGATGAGCTTCTTTATTATTAGTAATAAATTAGTAATTGCTAGTTCCTGTAGTATTCATGCTGAGGCAGCAGTGGGCATCTAGGGGGGTTGAGAGGAAACCGCATAGGGATGGCAGAGGTAGCGATGCCGCAATGAATGCCTCAAGAGGCCTGGATTCCCTCTCCTCCTCTGCCTTCAGACTGAGTGACCTTGGCAAGGTCATTTGCTTATCTTTATCTACCATCATAAAATGAGTATAACAATGGTAACCTCCCCTGTGGAGTAATTATGCAGTCCAAAAAAAGGGAAAATATCATGAGGGAGTGAGACATCGTTATCAAAGTGTGCGTATATGGCATTTATTCGGCTCTAGGTGTCTAAATATAGTTGTTTCTATGTGAAATAGATATCTAGGGTTGTACTGTAATCAGATGAGATCAATCAATAAACTCAGTGGAGTTCTGAGGCATTTTGAACACAGTCGTTCATTGTGAACAGAATCTTCCTCCAAACCACACTGACAGTACTTACTAACCCTCCTTTAACTCCGGGAGGGCTTAGACATCGTATTTATGTGGAAGCACTACTATTGCAAAGACCTGATTTCGAGCCAAATATCCACCCTGCCCTCCTCACCTCTGCCTTTGCCCGTTGTGTTTTCTTTTGGCACTTGTGGCCAAGGAGTCAGTTCCTTCTTGATAACAGCTTTCTTGTCTTGGCAGTTTCAGGATCTGGATGAGCTCGTTGCTCACTGCTGTAGCCAGTGGCCATGCAGTCATCATCAGAGGAAGCCTTACAGTAGATGGAGGTGCTGGTCCCACTGCAGGTATGACTCTCCCCTTGCAGGTTTCTCACAGTGAAGCCAGACTTTATGATGCTCTTTCTTTTTTTGGGGAACTGAGTACTGATTCGCCACGATCAGGATAGAGATCTTAAATTTAGCTCCTTAAGATGCTAATAAATCAGCCAATGCACAACTGAATTCACCCAGTGCCAGAAGGGTGGCAGATTTCTGAGCCCTTCTTCTTTTTTTCCCCCCAGCTATATGAAGAACTCCTGTTTGAAAAGGCCATCATTGGACACATTTGGGTCTGCAGGGGAGAGATTTTCCAGAACTTCTTCAGCTTCTGATATTTCTCTGCTTTTTCCTATTTGTGCATGAGCCTCCTGGCCAGGTTGGTCTGAAACACCATTTAACGGATCAAAGAGATTCTGATTGTCAGAAGCATGGCTGGTGAACAGGTAGCATGGGGGAATGCTGCCTTCCTGCACGGGGAGGTATTTGTTTGTTGGGCCTTCAGCACTAGGACCCAATCCAAACGCACCCTCAGCATCTCTGGGAGCCTGGGACTGTGCACCAAAGTGCTGCAGGGGTGGACAGCTCTGGCTCCCTCCTGGGTGTCCGGTAACAACTTCATCCTGTCCAGCAAGGAACAGGAGGCTGGAGGTGTCCCATGCTACCAGTGGAGCGTTTGTTTCTGCTAGGATTTCCTGACCCAGCGTGGAGGGATTTGGATCAAAGCAAGGTGGAGTTTCTGTCTGTGGATTTTGCCAATCTAAATTTGGGATGACTGTTTGGGGAAAATCTTGTCTTTCGTTTTCTGCAGATATGAAAACATTATTGTCGTCTTGAAAATCCATGTTGCCTAGTTGAATCCCAACTTTCTTGGGTAACTTTCCTAAATTACTTGATGAAGAAGAAATCCCATCCTCTACCATTGTGTTCTGGACATCCAAACTCAGTAAGTTCTGACTTTCACGTGTATGCCCAACATGTGGATTTCCATCCCTACTCAGATTTTTTGGGCTGTAATCAACTGCAGACGTAAGCTCTGGAGGAGGATTAAAAGGGTTTCTTCCACCTTCAAAGCTCATTGCATCTTCTTTCTGATTTTCCTGTGCTGACAAGAGAAATGGACAACACCTGTCCTGTGGCTGCTGAACCTGCTTGCCAACAGCTGGGTGGTCATAGACACTGAGTTCAGTTCTCAGGCGTTTGTCATCACCTGAAATGCTTGTACCAGGAGCCAACAACAGGACATCGGTTTCCTTGCCCTCAGTGGTATCTGAGCAGCTTCCAGCACTCTCCTGCTTTACATCATGTTCCAGAATACTGCTATGTGGGTTAGTTACCAGTTGGCCATACATGGCCTGAGGTTCTGTTTCTTGTAGATGGGGCATATTGTGGTCATCTGTCACCTCTGGCAAACCAAGTGCAGAGATTCTGTTGTTTTCTGGTTTGTTCTCCTGAGCTGTGTGATCAGGACTGGGTTCTTCTGGAAATCCTGATGGATTTACTTCTTTCGTTTTGCTTGTCTTCTCAAATTCTGCCCCTGTGCTCACTTCTCCAGCCAAATGACTCACGCTGGATGGCTGCACGTTCTCCTCCTGAATGACTGTTGCCTGCTTCCTAGGGAGCTCATCAGCTTTTATCTTTGGTGTTTCACTCAGCAGCTCAGCTATGTCAGGTGATGCACTCAGCCCTCCTGGCTCTGGGGAGCTGGGTGCTGCACTGGGGGTCCCTGGCTCATCAGGGATGTGGGAGGCTTGGTGTTTAGCTTTGAGTTCAGGGGGATCAGTGCCCTCATCTCTGTATTTTTGCTTCATATTCTTTGTGTTGTTTCTGGTTTCAAGACTTTGTGGCACATGTGCAGGCTGTGGGTTGTTCACTCCCTCTCCAAGATGTTGCTTGTCTCCTGCAATGGCAGTAGTCCATTTACGTTTGTCATATGTCATTGCAGGCCTCGTGTCTCCTTCACTGGTTGTGCTGGCTGAGAAGGACACATAGGCTTCATTTTCTGCCTCTGGGAGCTCTGCTGTGGGCAGGACACAGCCCCTTTTGTCCCCTAGGAACATCCAGTTGCTGGGTTTAGCGCCCTGAGATGCAGCTTGGTGGGAACTGAGCAAGCCACGAGGCAGAGGTTTAGCAGGTTCCAGGAGCACAGGGGAGGAGGCTGAGCCTGACCCTCTCTTCAGCTGGAGCTTGCTCTGCTGGGACGCAGTGAGTGGCTGGGACACCTGGCCCCCTTGCTTACCATTGCCTACATCCCCAGCCCGAGGCGCCAGTGCCTTCTTACCATCTCTCTGCTCTCTGGGCTTAGGCCAGGAGCCCATTTGCTCTCTTTGCTCAGGATAGGTGACACCAGGTAGAAAGCTTCCCTCCTTCACGGCTGCCTCTGTGGCTGTTTTTCTCTCCTGAATCAGGAGCACCATCCTGTCCACCTCGTTGCCCGCAGCCTGGTGGCTTTGCCAGCTCAACACAGGCTTTTTCCAGGAACACGTTCCCTTTCTAGCTTTTCCATCTGTTTCTGAAGGTGGCCAGCAGCTTCTGAGCTTGTTCCCTAAGAACACAGGCCTGCTGTTCAGCTCTTGCCTTTGCTCAGCCAGCTGCAACCTGCATGGCACATTGAAGGGTGTGGGTTTCCTTCTTGCTTTGGTCTCATTTTCAGCTCTGCTATAGCAGTCCAGAGGCTGTGCTCCTCTGCCTACCAGACGAGCTTACTTTTGTAGTCAACTGAATGGGCTGTGGCAGTCGCCAGGGTCCACAGGGGCCCCTTCGCCCTTGGGAAACCATGGCAACAAATGTCCTGAAGACAAGAGAGAAGAACAGGTTAGACCAAATAAGGAGGAAACAAGACATGACACATGTCCATTGGTCAGAGATAACTGTAGTAGCCCTAAGCATGGGGAAAGCTTTAAGAAGGATGTGCTCCTTGCAATTAACGCCATTTTGCTGCTCACCATATTGGTTTCATGAAAAGCGTGGGAAACTGACTGGGGCTGTTGGAACACTTTCACAAGGGGATTTCTGCCAGGGTCGCCAAAACAAAGGCAACAACTTTCTAGCTTTTCCATCTGTTTCTGAAGGTGGCCAGCAGCTTCTGAGCTTGTTCCCTAAGAACACAGGCCTGCTGTTCAGCTCTTGCATTTGCTCAGCCAGCTGCAACCTGCATGGCACACTGAAGGATGTGGGTTTCCTTCCTGATTTGGTCTTATTTCCAGCTCTGCTATAGCAGTCCAGAGGCTGTGCTCCTCTGCCTACCACTGCTGCTTGTTGCATCTGATCATCCCCTGGTTGTTGCTCCAGCCTTTCTCTCTCCCTTCTGCTTTTGGCCATCTGCTTGTAGTGAATTTGGCCGTAGAACACCCCGTGGAAGGCAGCATAATTGTGCAAGCTGGAAAACACACATTGGCATAGCTGTTAGAGGTTGTGCAGGAGGGAAGCATGAACAGCAATGATGGATAAGTTTTCAGCACAGTTGGCACGTTTACAGCCTCAGCCTCATTTTCATCAGCCTACATCTATACTGCAGAGCTCTTCCCCACCATCATCAGGTGAGGTTTCACCGTGTTTCGTGGCTTCCCTCCAGCAGGGCCAGCCCTCATTGCAGGAGTTGTGGCAATTTGCCATGGGTAGTGGTGGTGGCGGTGGTGGTGGGACAAGAAGCCAGTTGGGCCTACAGCCATGGTTGGTCTCTGTGCTGGGACAAGAAGGGGGTGCTGTGGACATCCCCATATTCTGTAACTTCACTGAGGGTACATTGCAGACATGGCTGAGGAGGAATGCACAGGAGTGTGTACAGAGAGAGCCAAGTCCAGCCTATACTTCTCACCGTCCCTCACTCCTACAGGCAGAGCGGCGTGAGTCTGTGCTCAGTGGTGGCACGGGTGGCAGGGATCATCGCCCCGCTGATCCTCATCCTGGAGCAGTACCACAGTGCCATCCCCATGGCCATCTACGGTGGTACCACCGTGCTGGGGGGGCTGCTCTGCTTCCTGCTGCCTGAGACCCGTGGTGTCGGACTGGCAGATGGCACAGAGGGAGGCCAGCCCACAGCAGTGGTGAGTGACTGGCAGCCCCCATGCTGCCACCTCTTAGTCAGAAGGTGAAAGCAGGACCACGGAACGGCCCTTTGGTGCTGTGTGGGCAGGGGGCAATGGCTTCTTTGACGGCTTTCAGCGATTAGAAAACAGGGAACTGGGGTTCTCCACTATAGTGGATGAGTAGGATGCTGGTGGTGATCTGCCCATAACGCAACCCAGAAGGGTATTTCAGACCCACAGTGGTCATCTCTTAATTCTTGTCTTTGTGAAGTGAAAGGGCTCCAGGAGTGGTGGGTGCTTCCCTTGGCGCTCCCTGCTCTCCCCAGGGAAAAGCCAATGCCTTGCTGCCTTGCTCTCCAGCTTTCATTAAGGTTTAGCTCCCAGATCCTCATGCCTCACTGGGCTGCGTGGAATTGCAGCCTAGTACTGTGGTTAGGGGAAAGGGTTCCACCACTGGTCACAGAGTGGATGATGTATGGGAAGCCAGGCTGCTCAAGGCTGAGTGCCATTTGCCTAATTGGAGAAGACTGTCATCAAATCACACTGTGCCATGCTGTTAAGTTTTTTCTGTTCCATTAGGTCCATGGAAATGCCAGCAGCAGCCCTGACAAAGGACACGTGAACGTAAAAGATGCTGGCCAAGTCAGTGAGAACACAAAGAACACTTACTTCTAGCTGGGCCTACAAGCAGCTGTAATTGAAGGCCACCTGGTGCTCTGACACTGCTGAGGACAGGCAAAGACTCCATTCATGGCACCTCTCCCACTCAGGCAGTGACTGCCAGTTCTTGTCATTCTTTGTCTTTTTTGCCTTCCTGCATCTCCCTCTATAGCTTCTCTTTGGGCACTGCATGCTGTCTCACGTTAACAGTGCTCTCGCTGGAGAAAGTGCTTTTAGTTTAAGGCCAAAAAAAAAGAAATTGGAAGCCAGAATAGATGTGATATTTTCCCTCTCCCTTTCCTGTCCCATCTCCAAGAACATGAGACTGTGAAGTGAGACACCTGCCAGAGCACTGAAGAGACCAGCAAAGAAGTACTGTATTCAGTGAGGGGAAAGGCAGCGCAGATGCAGCACTGAAAACCATCTCACCTTGCTAGAGGGATTTCTCTGGACTGTCTAGCATGGTTTTCTCACCCTTTTTAAAAACTGCTCCTTTAAGTTTTATTCTTTTTTAAGATTTGAGATAATCAGCTGAGGAAAAAAGAGGATATGATAGAAGAAACAGGAAACGGTGAGCAAGGACACCTCCCCTTCCGCTTCTGCGTCTGCTTCCACTTCCATTTCCCCTTCCACTGCCCGTATCGCTTCCCCTTCCCCTTCCGTTTTTCTCTTGCTATACCCATATATATATAAATGATGAAGCCCAGAAAGTTCTACAGTGGTGGTGCAGCAGCTTTCACTGCACAGTGCTGAAAGGTTTCTTTCTTTCTGGTGATGCTGAGAAATTTTCAGATGAGGCATTATTTCTTCCTCATCGTACCTACATGCTTTCCTTGGAACAAAGTATCCCACAGATGTGTGGTTTGCTGAAGACAACATTCTAATAAAATCAGTGACATGCAGCAGTGTCCCACCAGGAGAGATTGGCTCTGGTGTTACCACTCTGCAGCACTGCTGGTCAGGGGATTTGATAAGTTGTGGCTGAGGTGCTCTTGTTCAGTGGGTCTGAAGATGGAGGTGATCCGTCCTTTGATTGAGAACTCTTTCCTTTGCAAAGGCTGGCGGCTGCCTCTGACAGGCTGTTATGGAAAATACGGGGATGAAAGTGGAAGTTGAGAGAAGAGCTTGGAATAAAGCACACAGTTATGGAGTGAATCATGGCTTCACCTTCAATGAAGTCTTCTATGAGACAGTCTGTTTCAGTTCACTTCATAAATAAAGCTGTCCAGGCACACTTGATGTACTTCTGTGTCCATCTCCTTTGTCCCTCTCATAAGCTGCAGATCCATTTTGTCTGCTTTTCCCCAGAAAACTGCACCTGGTTAGTGTGAAGACCATTGGATGTGTCGTTCTTGGCTGAGGAGCACCTGAGCGGTTTGACTGACGATGTTTTGCACAGCTCATCAGGACTTGGAAACTGTCCATTGGTATTGCTGTGTTTAATGACATTGTTAGCTGGTCTACGTGTTGTTCTGCACAGTAACAAATGGAGTTGATAGAGCAAACTCAAGTTAGAATAGCTTCTGCGAATACAGCACACTTTTGCATCCATATAATGGAATGTTGTGGCCTCCCATGATAGTGTGGTCATGGTCAAAAGGCAAAAAGTGCCTGATGTGATCTGAAGGGCTAAGTAAGGGAAACAGGATGACCCCATATTCAAGCAGAGGGAGTGGGAAGGCTCTGGGAGAGGTAGGGACAAAAATCACAGTGGAACAGGTTGCCCAAGGAGGCTGTGGATGCCCCATCCCTGCAGGCATTCAAGGCCAGGCTGGATGTGGCTCTGGGCAGTTTGTTCATCAGAAGGCTCAGAAATAAAAAATGTCCTAATTGAACCCACTCGTTCTGCTTCAACACTCTGTTTCTGCATTGTTGCTGGCTGAGGGAAACCAAACACGTTTCCGTCTGTGTGTTACATTACAGGCTTACAATTGCTGTGTAGAAAACACTCCACAGCCAACAGCATTTACAAAAGCCAACTGTGAAACTGTAAGAAAGAAAAGAGGAAATCAACGCCATTTATTCTTCACGTATTGCATTACAAGCGCCTCTTATCAAACTCCCAGTATAATTTATGTTATTCCTGTAGAAATTCCAATTCAACTCCACATAGAAAGAAGACCTAAGTACGTGTGACAGGGTTGTGGTGACATCCTGATCAGACACGGAGGCTCGGACCGCCGCCAAGGCTGACGACCCCAGCGCTCAGTGCAGGAGGGACGCAGCCCGGCGCTCGCTTGCTCAGTAATGCCGCTCTGCTGGCAATTCTTTATTGCTGTAAGTCACAACAGGGATGGTTCCACGGGTACCAGTTTGCAAGGGACTGGAAACACGTCAGGGAGGACTCGCACAGCCAGGCACAGCAGACTGGCTCTCAAGAACAGTCCCACACGCGACTTTTCCAAACGCGGTGACACAGATCTCCTCTCCCTCTGACTGTGAGTGGTGAGTTTGTTGATCATCTGCAAGACCCGTTTCCAGACAGCAGTGCCTCATTTTTCTTCTTTAAAATCAGATTCTGTTAGAGTAGACCTTTAGTATCTGCTTGTCTGTTCATCCCTTGCTTTCCAAGCATCTTTAGACATCTTTCTCCGAATTTATTTCTTTCTCTTCACTGTTTGTCTTGGACAGGGTCTGCAGTTTGCTTCTGGAGACATGAAGGAGAGAGGAAGAAATCATGTCCTAACATTTTCAGATTTGGATTTTTTTTGCTTTAAATCTAGAGCCCCAAGCACTCACTTCCTTTGGTGGTTATCTGTCACCGTGTCATCTGGCAGTTCAACCCCGCGAGTCTCGGGCAGCAGGAAGCAGAGCAGCCCCCCCAGCACGGTGGCACTGCCATAGACAGCCAAGGGAATGGCACTGTGGTACTGCTCCAGGATGAGGATCAGCGGGGCGATGATCCCTGCCACGCGTGCTGCCATTGAGCACAGCCCCACACCGCTCTGCCTGTGGGATGAAGGGGAAAGTGAAAGCTGTAGGCTGGTCTCAGCCCTGCAGAAGACCAGCACTACACCATTAGGAGGTGCTAGCCATGGTGGTGGCTATGTCGTGGTGCCTCCTTCCTGCCCTTCACCACCAGCACCCGGGTTGCAGTGTGCATCCCTGTGTGCTCCCACCTTCATGGGAAGCCATAAGGTATGGGGGAATCTCACCTGATGACGGTGGGGAAGAGCTCTGCAGCGTAGATATAGGAGGTGGAGAAGGAGGCACATGCAGCAAACTTGCCGATGACTGCCAGGACGGTGATTGCCACGGCCTGGTCTGAGGGAAAGAGAAGAGATGGCTGCTGTGATGCCAACAGAGAAGGTTCTGCAGGACCTTGGGTCTCTGCAGTAGGATTTTTGGAGACAGCCCTCTTTAGCAGGGGCTGTTGTGGTAGGACGTGTAGGAATATTTTCAAACTAAATGAGGGGAGATATAGCTTATACAGACTGGTGATAAGGAAGAAGTCTTTTACAATAACGGTTGTGAGGCACTGGCACGGGCTGCTCAAAGAGGCAGTGGACGCCCTGTCCTTGGAGACATTCAAGGTCAGGCTGCATGGGCCTCTGATCAAGCAGTAGATGTCCCTGTTCACTACAGTGGAGTTGGACGAGATGGTTTCTAAAGGTCCCTCCAGCTCAAACAATTCCATGATTGTGTGATTCTGATGGACTTTCCAAGCAGGTCTGCCACCTGAGGTATCGGATACCTCTCCTAGCATATCCTTTTCAGCAAAATACCCACTACACAACTAGCAAAGCAAACCCATATTTCTTCTCAGGCCTTGTTCATTTCCTAACTAAGGCACTGCAAGTCGCTGGGGAATGCTCATTTGAAAATATCACATATAATAGATATGGTAATTAGCAGTAAGACAAGAGGAAGTGGTCTCAAGTTGCACCAGGGGAGGTTCAGGATGGATAGTAGGAAAAATTTCTTCTTGGAAAGAGTGCATTGGAACAGGCAGCCCAGGGAGGTGTTGAGAAACGTGGAATGTGGCACTGAGGGACATGGTATAGAGCAGTCACAGGCATGGGTTGATGGTTGGACCAGACGATCATAGTGGTCTTTCCAACCTGTATGATTCTATGAATCTATGATTCAGTAGCTTGAAAGCATGCCACAAACCTGCCTTACTTGCATCATCTGAATAACAACGGGGGTAGGGGCAAACGTACACAGTGTGGGGAAACTGTAGATAGAAACAGGTGTGGGGGGAGCAGGTTGTGAAAGAAATTAAGAGTTGGGCCTCTCCCTTGAGTTGGGAAGAGTTTTGTTCACCTTCAGGGATGCCAACAATGATGAGACACATCAAGCCAGCCAACAGCAGGAGAACAGCTTGGACTTTTTTCCTCCCAAACCACTGTAGCAGG